ATGTAGGGTACTGGCAGAAATGCCCGTTCTTCCAGGACTTCTGCTGTGGATAGGACCCTGACACCAGTGCATTTTAAATTACTTTTAAAAAATGACTACCAGTTTTTCTCATATATTTTGTCCTGTGATAGCGGGGGGTTTTGGGAGGAGGTACTTACCTTGATAACCCGAGTCAAATCTGTTCCATTGCAACCCTCCATCAGTGGTTGTCTACTGGGGCTAGTGGAAAATTTATTTCCAACAGTTGCAGAACGCACCCTAGTTTGCCTACTTCTTTTTCATGCCAAAAAGGCCATGGCGCTAAACTGGAAAAAACAGACACCCCCCCCCCCCTCTCACTAGAAGAGTCTGGTGAATAACAACCTGTCCCTATATAAAGACACCTAAATAAATAGAGGCTGCCTAAGGAAGTATGATAGGGTTTGGAGTAAATGGCTGGCGGAGCCTTCTACCGCCTTTGAAATGTCACCAACTGGCTCTGGGTGAACTCTTAGTGGATCTATGGGACCTCCTGACCTATGACAGCATCCTCTCATTGTTGTAAACCTTTTTTACATGCTTGTTTATGCACTCTATGCAGCACCTTACTGTTTTATTGGTGTTTCCCTCACTACTCTGCACTATAGTGTTTCTGATGTAACACTACCCCTGCGAGGGACATCACCTTATAGTTTTGTATGTACATTATGTGTTTTTTGTTGTCTGTGATAAACTTAATAAACAGATTTAAAAAAAAAATAAAATAAAAATGACTACCAGTAAAAAACTTCCTTTAGGCCCGTTTACACTTGAGCATTTTTCAGCTCAAAACTTGATGCTCCAAAATGCTCAACAAGGAAATGTACTCAAAAAAGTACATGCTCTACTTTTCAGGCAGATTTGAGCAGTTTTTGTCCCCATAGACTTAAATGGAAAATGCAGCAAGAAATGAGCATGTTTTTCAGGCATTTTCAGCTCAAACAGCAGCTCCTCTCCCCTTTTCTAGCATCACTCCACACCTTATAAACACACATTTTTGTGATTAAAATGGAGGAGAGTCTGCTTCTGGAAGCTGATACATTCATTGCTTTCATTCGTGGCCATCCCCATTTTAAGAGCAAGAACCACCAGAGCCTGGGAGGAAGTGGGACGAAACTTGCTGCCCTAGTGGAACAGCTACATTGCTCCTGCTCCCCAGATCAAGGAGAAAGATACAGAACTTATGTGTACAGCTGACATGTCCTTGATTCTGGTTTTCCTGTTGTATGCGCCTAGGACACATCTACATAGGTTTCTATTGGCCACAGCAAAAATGCCTAAATGAAAAACACCTATAATATTTGTAAAGTTGCTCAAAAAAATGTTCAAAAATGCCTGGAAAAACCCCTTGAAAAAACGCCTGAAAACACTCAGCTCAGTGTGAATGTAGCCTTAAAAAACTCTCCCGACATTCCAACTGTATCTTCCTGTACATCGTGTAGCTGGAAGTAGAGAGAAAAAAAATGTGTGAAGGATCCCAGCTGGATGATAATTGCTGTTCTATGTGTGGGAAGCACTGCTCAGTCTATCTCCACCTAGTTAGAGAACAAATATAGCCTGGTACAGAACAGAAATAGACAGAAAGGCAGCTAGAATATACCTATTAACCCTGATTTGTTAGCCTATCAACTGGTGTCATTGTCTACTGAATAGTACCCAAAATAACAGGTTTAACAAATAAAAGCGGCAGTGGGAATGTCTCCAAGCTTTCCTAATACTTGCCAAACATATCCAGAGGGTGCAGTCTAACTACGTCATAAAACTGAGCATAATTTAGAGGGATAATGTGCTGTTGTTGTGCGTTTTCCATCTTTAAAGCAGAATAACAGCTCTATATCTGAGAAATGTGATTATTTGTAGCAATGTGGCCATGGCAGAAAATGCTTTACTCCCTTCTCTGCACTAAAATTTTATGCACTGAATATTCTTATACAGAAGCCGGCAGAGAACTTGTGGTATTATAATGGTGGTGTCACCAGTAGTTTGTAACACCCTGCTATAATGCAAGTTGCAGGATGTTAAGAGAAATACAAAATGGCAGTGTCGTGTAATTCAGTGGCACTCACACTCTGTAGAACAGCCTCATGGACTTTGTATGCTGAATCGCAGGACTATGTTGGAGGGCATTGTATCAGAGAACTACATTTCCCAGAGGAACTGGAGAGTGTGGGCAGGGGCATTTATTCCAGGAGACTGGACAGCGAAGCGAGCGGAGAGAGCTGGAGAGCAGGAGCGAGGAGAGGGCTTTGTGGAATGCCGGAGTGCCAGACCAGGTCACAGAGCTAGAGAGGAGAGAAGTGAGGGGGAATTGCTGACTGCTAGCCTTGCCAACCAGTCCAGGGAGGCATCCTGCCAGCAGGCAAACCAAAGTGGTGTGTACAGACTGAGCACTGCAGGAAGGACAGGAGAGCCATTGAGGGCCCCCATGTACAATCTCTCTCTTCAACCTATGAGGTCTGAATCTCTATTGTTCACCAGTTGGGCCCCGATGAGCATGCAGAAGATTTTTCACTGCATCTGAGGAACATTGATTACCTTATTTGACAAGCACTTTTTATCACAGATTTAAACCTTCCAATCAGATTCTGAGGGCACAAAGTGAGCTGATTTATCTTTTTATAATTTCCCTTGCTTACTGGGGACTAAAAACACCTCACTTGAGAATTGCCATGTAAATTTATTTGTGCAAAGCATATGGCAGCACACTGCACAAAGAGTCATGCTTTACCATGCATTATTATTATTATTATTATACAGGATTTATATAGCACCAACAGTTTGCTCAGCACTTTACAATATAAAGGGAGACAATACAGCAACAATATAGTTCAATACAAGAGGGTTACGAGGGCCCTCCTCCTTGCAGTTTACAATCTAAGAGGGAGGGGCTGGTGGTACAAAAGGTAATAACTGTGGAGGAAGAAATGATAGGAGGAAGAGAAGATTCCATTATTAGCTGAAGGCAGGATAGGCTTCCCTGAAGAGATGGGTTTTCAGAGATTGCCTAAAAGCAGGCAGAGTAGGCGATAGTTTGATAGATTGGGGTAGAGAGTTCCAGAGGATTGGGGAGGCTCTGGAGAAGTCCTAGAGATGAACATGGAAGGAGACAAGGGAGCTAGAGAGCAGGGGGTCATGGGAGGAGCAGAGAGGGCAGTTTGGGTGATATTTGGAGACAAGGTTGGTGATGTAATTTGGGGGCAGAGTTATAAAATGGCTTTATATGTTATTGTTCATGTTTTGAATTGTATTCGTTGGGCAATGGGAAGCCAGTGGAGGGATTGGCAGAGAGGGATGGCAGATATGGAACGGTTAGTAAGGTTGATGAGTCTGGCAGCAGCATTCATGATAGACTGAAAAGGGGATAGCCTGTGATTAGGTAGGCCAATGAGAAGGGAGCTACAATAGTCAAGGTGAGAGATAACAAGGGAGTGAATAAGTTGCCTAGTGGTTTCAGAGGTTAAGAACGGGCATATCTTGGAGATGTTGCGGAGGTGAAGTCTACAAGATTTGGACAGTGATTGAATTGGGGCTGAAAGGACAGATGGGAGTCTAGGATTACACCTAGTCCCCTGGCATGAGGGGAAGGACCAATGGTTGTATTATTGATCTTGATGGAGAAGTCAGTGGAGGGGGCACAGGCTGGAGGGAATATTATGAGCTCAATTTTAGAAAGATTTAGATTGAGGAAGTGGAGTGACATCCATGCTGATATGTCACTTAGTAGCTTAGTAATGTGAGAGGAGACTGAAGGGGTGAGGTGAGGAGTAGAAATATAGATTTGTGTGTCATCAGCATAGAGATGGTACTTAAAGCCATGGGAGTTTATCAAGTGTCCAAGAGAGGAGGTGTAGATGGAGAACAGAAGGGGTCCAAGGACAGAACCTTGAGGTACCCCTACAGAAATAGGAAGTGGAGAGGAGGAGACCGAGTTATAGGTAATGCTAAAAGAGCGCTGCAATAGGTAGGAGGAGAACCAGGAGAGAGCAGAGTCTCAGAGGCCAAGAGAGTGGAGTATTTTGAGGAGGAGGGGATGGTCAACTGTATAAAAAGCCGCAGAGAGGTCAAGTAGTAAGAGTATGGAGTAGTGGCTATTGGTTTTAGCAGTTAGTAAATCATTAGTGTGTTTTAGTAGGGCAGTTTCAGTGGAGTATAGTGAGCGAAAGGGTCAAGAAGATTGTTATCAGTGAGGTAGGAGCTCAGGCGATTGTAGAGTAAGCATTCTAAGAGTTTAGAGGTAAATGGGAGCAGGGAGATGGGTCTTAAGTTGTTCAGGTTGGTGGGATCCAGCGAGGGCTTTTTAAGTATGGAGCGATCTGTGCATGCTTTAGAGGGGAAGGCACCATTAGAGAGGGAGAGATTGAAGATGCGAGTGAGGGAGCATAGGACAGAAGAAGAGGGTGACCGTAGTAGTTGAGAGGGGACAGGATCCAGGGGGCACGTGGTGAGATGGGCTTTGAAGAAAACTTTAGTGACCTTTTCAGTAGTAGCAAGGTCAAAAGAGGAAAGTGTTGAGGGAGGGTTAGTATAAGGTATGCTAAGTGAGATAGATGTCTGTGTAGCAGAGATGCCACTACAAATTGCATCAATCTTGTTTTTGAAATGATTTGCAATCTCCTAAGCAGTGAGTGAGTTACTGGGTGGAGGTGGAGAAAGTAGAGAGTTAAAAGTAGAGAAGCTACGACCAGGATTGGATGACAAGGTATTAATAAGAGTGACAAAGTATTGCTTGCTCGGGAGGAATTGTATGTTAAGAAAGCAGATTTATATAGGGTGACATTGTGGTAACACTTGGTGGAAAGTACAGTTTTTTGGCTGTTGTGGTGTATTAGAAGACCATTCAAAAGAATGTGCTGCCTTAACACAATGTACAATAATATACAAAATACCACTTGTTAATGCATGTGTGGTAATGCACTGTGCAGCCAGGTGCTCGACTACTGTCACAGTGGGAAGAAAGTACTGCCGATAACCAGCAAATGTCACAGAGGACACCCGACCTGATCATCAGTGCCGCCCACCAGTGCCCAGCAGTGCCACCCACCAGTGCCCATCAATGCCACTCACCAGTGCCCATTAGTGCCACTCATCAGTGGCCAGCAGTGTCGCCCATCAGTGCTGGCCAGCAGTTGTGCCCATTAGTGCCGCCAGTCAGTGTTGCCAGTCAGTACTACCTATCAGTTCCCATCATTGCAGCATCATCAGTGTCTCTTTCATCAATGCCCACCAGTGCCGCCTCATTAGAGCCACCTCATCAGTGCCCATCAGTGCTGCCTGTCCATGCCACCTCATCAGTGCCCATCAGTGCTGCCTATCAGTGCAGCCTCATCAATGAAGGAAGGAAAAAATCATCAATCAGTGAAGGAAAAAAATTACCTGTTTGCAAAAGAAAAACTTTTTTTTTTTTTCCTCTTTTTTTGTTTATAGTTCAAAAAAAAAACCCAGTGGTGATTAAATATCACCCGAAAGAAAGCTCTATTTGTGTGAAAAAAAATGCTAAAAATTGTGGGTACAATGTTGCATGACCGCGCAATTGCCATTCAAAACTGCAACCGCCTTGAAAGCTGGAAATTGGCCTTGGCATGAAGGGGGTAAAAGTGCCCTGTAGGCAAGTGGTTAAAGCCTATGTGTGCATGGACACATAGGATAACATGCTAGCGAGTTTGCTGGCTGCAGATAAAAAAGCCAAAAGACAAAAAACAGCAGCTGTAAAAATGTTCATACTTGCAATTACATCTCTAAACACATTCTGCTAACCCTCCTGAATATGGGGATACCACATGTGTGAGACATTTTGTACAGCCTAGATGCATAGAGGGGTCCAAAATCAAAGGAGCACCTTTGGGCTTTCAAGGAGCATGAATTAGAAATGCATTACAGATCTAATTTCCTTACTATCGATCAAATTTTTTTAAGGTCCTGGAGCACCAGGACAGTGGAAACACCCACAAAATGACCCCATTTTGAGAAGAAAACAACCAAAGGTATTTTATATGAGGTATAATTCTTCTTTTGAACATGTAATTTTTTGCCACAAGTTTTTGGAAAATGTGGAAAGAAAATGAAAACCTATTTTTTTACACAAAGTTGTCAATTTCTAAGATATTTCTACTACACAGCATGAACATATATGAATTGCACCCCAAAACATATTCTTCTCCTGCTCCTGAGTATGGGGGTACCACATGTGTAAGACATTTTCACAGCCTAGCCACACAGAGGGGCCCAAAATATAATAAGCATATTTGGACTTTCACATTAGTTTAAATGCTTTTTCCCTTACGTAAACATTTTTTGAACATGGCTGGCTCTGGTGACACCATACCAGTGGCAGAACTGCCAGGGTCGTAAAAGTCACATTTGCGACCGGGCCCTGGCGTTCCGCCACTCTGGGAGGCCCCAAGACCCAGTCTCTTCCATTCACCTCTGGCTGGCAGATCACTATGCAGTGGTGTTGGGGGCATCGGCAGCTCTGTGATGCCCACAGATTTTTTCCTCTGTCTAGCAGTCTACTTCACTCTATACAGTGGAGAGGGGAGGGGCCTCTGACCCGAGCAAATATCAGCTTCAGTGCCCAGAGTAACTCACTTGTGTACTGAATCAGGTGCCTGCCCGGGTCAGAGGCCCCTCCCCTCTCCACTGTGTAGAGAGGGAAGGAGATTCTGCAGATTCTGATTAATGTGCAGGTCAGTGGCCATGGGGTGACCTGACTGTACTGGAAGTACACTGTTGGGTGTGTTGGGACAGTGTGTGTGTAGGGGGGGCCCAAAGATGTTCTGGGGGTTGGAGGTGCACATTAAATGGGTACAAAGCAGAGATGTCTTAAGGCTGGGGGGGGGGGGGGGTGCAAAGAACACTTTCTGCGGTGTACAATTATGTGCTGGAGGGATGCAGAGGGAGCTGGGAGGTGCTGAGGTGTGGGTGTGTGTGTGTGGAAAGGGGTACGGAGGTGTGAAGGGTGCAGAGATGTGCGGCAGAGTACATAGATGTGCTGGGGGGTGTTGAGGTATGTTGGGGAATACAGAGGATGATGGGAGGTATAGAGGTGTGTGTGTTTGTGTGGGGGGGTGCAGAGGTGTGTGTGTTTGTGGGTAGGGGGTGCACAGGTGTGTGTGTGTGGGGGGGGTAACAAAGGCTTGCTGGTAGTATGGAGCCATACTGGAAGATAAAGGGGGATTCTAGGAGGTACAGAGGTGTGTGTGTGTGTGTGTGCGTGTGTGTGTGGGAAGGGGGGGGGGGGTGCGGAGGTTGTGCTGGGGATTACAAAGGCTTGCTGGGAGTATGGAGGCTTACTGGGGGATAAAGAAGATTCTAGGAGGTGCAGAGGTGTGCTGGGGAGTACGAAGGATGCTGGGAGGTGTAGAGGTATGTGTAGGAGGTGCAGCAATGTGCAAAGGGGTACAAAAGTGGTGCTGGGGGGTACAGAAGTGTGCTAGGGGTACAGGGATTATTTGGGAGATACAGAGATGTGCAGGGGGTATAGAGGCATGCTGAGGGGTATGGAGGCATTCCGGGGGGTGTAGAGATGTGCAAAGGCGTATAGCAATAGGTGGTTCTTGTAGAACCACGCCCATTTTAAATGCCCCACCCCTAATTAAGATACGTTCTCCGCCTACAATGGCTGGCTGAACACATAGAAAAAAAAGGCGTCCCTGATAATTTTTTGCAAAGGTTAGCAACTATATAGGAAGGGGTTTCACTGCAGAACACTTGAAAGGGTCCTACTAGGGGACCGTAACAAAGAGCCCCGCAATGGAAGTAAAGGGCCCTGGATCAGTGAGAAGGGTCCCTGAGACCAGTGGCAAGGGCTCCGAGATGGTGTCAGGGGGGCCCTCATGGTTTCTTGCACTGGGCCCTGAAGGTTCTAGTTATGTCTCTGCACCATACTGCTCTGATGGCGACACTGGGGCAGATGTGGCTAAATCAGAATGCTGACGATGGCTACATTGGTGTGCTTGATCAGGACACTGATGAGGCTGCACACTGGCATGGCTGATCAGGACACTGATGAGGCTGCACTGGTGTGGCTGATGAGGACATTGATGAGACTGCACTGGTGTGGCTGATCAGAAAACTGATGAGGCTGCACTGACATGGCTGATCAGGACACTGATGAGGCTGCATTGATGTGGCTGATCAGGGACACTCAGGAGGCTGCACTGGTGTGCTGATCACAACACTGAAGTGGCTGCACTGGCATGGCTATTAGGACACTGAGGAGGCTGCACTGGTGTGGGTGATCAGTACCCTGATGCGGCTGCACTTGCATGGCTGATAAGGACACTGATGAGGCTGCACTGGTAGTGGCTTCATTGGCATTGGCTGATCAGGGCTCTGATGTGGTTGCACTGGTGTGGATCGATCAGGACACTAATGAGGCTGCACTGGTGGGGCTGATCAGAACACTAAGGAGGCTACACTGGCATGGCTGATCAGGACACTGATGAGGCTACACTGGTGTGGCTGCACTGGCATGGTTGATCAGGACACTGAGGAGGCTGCACTAGTGTGGCTGATCACAACACTGGGGAGGATACACTGGCGTGGCTGATAAGGACACTGAAGAGGCTGCACTGTTGTGGCTGATCAGGACACTAATGAGGCTATATTGGTGTGGCTGCACTGGCAAGCTGCACAGGACACTGATGAGGCTGCACTGGCATGGCTGATCAGAACACTGATGAGGCTGCACTGGCGTGACTGATCAGGACACAGATGAAGCTGCACTGGCGTAGCTGATCAGGACACTGATGAGGTGCAGGCATGCTGGGGGGGGGGGGAGATGCAACTCTGATCACTGATGAGGCTGCACTGGCATGCTGATCAGGACACTGATGAGGCTGCACTGGCATAGCTGCACTGGTGTGTGCATTGTGTTAAAGCAGCCCATTCATTTTAATAGGCTATCAACACACCAATTCATTTGAATGGACTGCCAACACTCCACAGTGGAAATAAAATCATACAGTATGTCCTATGCAGCATGTCACAACACATTGTAATGTATTACTGTGCATTATTGTATGCTGCTACACAAATGTATTCCCTTTAGTGCAATGGGGTGCTATTCAATATGAATGGCACTGCAAGGCATTAACGAGTGCATTGCTACAACACATAGATGTGAAGGCATGCAAAAATTATAAGTCTTGGGGGAGATGGGACGAAGGAGATGTCCTTGGCATGTAGAGTGAACTTGAAGAGAAAGCTAAGCTGTCAGCTCTAATTGTAACCACCATTGATTGTTTGCCTCCTCCTCCCCCCCCCCCCCTAGAAAGCTCTGCCCAGTGTGTGCTATTACCTATTTTTGGTATACTTTTGTTCAATGGCTTGCAGCTGGTCAGTGATGTCCTAATTCTTTTTCCTCCTCTCCCAATCTTCTTCACTGGTAGGTGGTCCTTAAAGATGACATCAGTGCTGCTCTCTTCATTAGCCCTCCTTCACAACTGAATACAACTTTTAAATCTTCACTTGAAGTAGAGCAATTACAAAGCTGCAGATCAGTGTGATTTGTACCTCCGATTTCACTGTGGTTTGCAACTTCATTAAAACAAAGTCAATGCAAGTTGCAATGAAATCAGAAAAAAGTAGTGCAGGAAACTATTTTGAAATCTTGCTACTTCAAATCGCACTGACTAAGACAGTGTCATAGAAAATACATTAGGTGTAACTTCAGGTGTGATTTGTAAATCTCATGTCGCACCTGAAATTGCAGTGGTGTAAACCAGCGCTTAAATCAAGCACAGGGCGCCAGATTAGTGTATGGTTAAAAACACCACTTTAATTTGGGTGCCGCTCGAAAAAAGGAGGCAGGATCTTCGAAATGCATTGTGGTCCGCCACCCCATCCTACCCCCGCCCACCATGCGTGTCACCTTCCTGTTAGTGCCATGAGTGAGTTGAGGGAGATCTGTCATTGTCAGGGACCATCGCAAAGCATGGGTCTGCACATGCGTAGGTGTCTGGTCCAAGGACATGCAGGCAGCAGGGGCACTAGGACCCAGGCACACCCGCCGCCTATGACGGTGCTGGGCAGGGCACTAGGACCTAGGCTGCACCTGTTAGGTGCAGAGCGGCCTACGTTAAACCAGCCCTGCACAGACACAAGTTGCCGTATGGTCTGATCTGATCCCTGTTTTCTGTTGCTGAAGATTCGTTGCTGACCTGCTGGACCTGACCTCTGCTGGCTTCTCCTGCTCTGACCCCTGGCTACGTTAGACCTCTCTTTGGATATTCCCTACTGATCTGAACTACTTTGGTACTGACCCCCGGCGAGTGACCTGACTATTTTCTGCCTGCTGCCTTGTACTACGCTGACCTCTCTGTTACCGACCTGGCTCGTCTGACCACGCTCATCCATCCTTCCATCCGGGCATGGATCCAGCCCATCCCTGCTTCCGCCTTCTGCCTACATCACGTCACTCGGCT